CACGACCCTTACGCCACTCCTCACTCCTGTGTCAGTGGCTCTGGCTGATCCCACCTCTGGACCAGCCGTTGCGCGTAGCTCCACCACCCTCCCGTGCCCTGTGGTCCCCTCTGGTGTCCTGCGCGGCCTCCACATCCCCTCGTTCACTCGGAACTTGGTGGGTGTTGGATACCTCCAGGACAGGGGGATCACGGTTACCTTCGTGGGGGGTGGGCGGACTGCAGTCTGTACAGACGCTACCACAAGTGCTGTTCTGGCTACGTTCACCAGGGAGCCCCGCTCCGGTCTCTACGTTCTCCACACCGAGCGCTCCCCGGTCGCGTCCTCCCCTCAGGTCGTTGCGTCCCCTCCGGCCCAGGTCCCCAGTCCAGTTACTGTGTCTAGCCAGGTAGTCGTGTCCGGTCCGGTCGCTGTGTCCAGTCCAGTCGCTGCGTCTTGCTCCTGTCGCTCTCTCGCCCACCGCACCGTCCTGTGGCACCACCGCCTTGGCCACCCGTCGATCCCTCGCCTTCGTGGCATGCTCAGTCAGAAACTTGTCACAGGTCTCCTGCGCACCTTCCCGTCGCTCCCTCCCTCGCTTGCCCCTCCTTGCTCTCCGTGCGTCGCCGGTCGCTTACGCGCCACTCCCCACTCCTCCTCCCTTCGTCCGGCCACCGCTCCCTTCGAGACTCTCCACCTGGACGTCTGGGGCCCTGCCCCGACGCAGGGGACTGGGAGGGAGCGTTACTTTCTAGTGGTCGTCGACGACTACTCCAGCTACACCACAGTGTTCCCTCTTGCAAAGAAGTCCGAGGTGATTCCTACGCTGATCAGGTGGCTTCTAGCCACTGAGGGCACTCGTGGTCGTCGAGTCAGTTGTCTCCACTCCGACCGTGGGGGCGAGTTTCGCTCCGGCATTCTCGGCGGATTTTGTGGCGAGCAGGGCATTGTACAGTCCTGGACGCTGCCAGAGTCCCCACAGCAGAATGGGGTTGCTGAGCGCCGCATAGGCTTGGTCATGGACATTGCCCACACGTCCATGATCCATGCCCGTGCGCCCCATTTTCTGTGGCCCCACGCGGTTCGCTACGCCGCACACCAGCTGAACCTCCAGCCGCGTGTCTCGCGGCCCGAGGCTTCACCGACCAGTCTTTGGACTGGTTCCCCTGGTGTTGGGTCGGCCTTTCGAGTCTGGGGCTGCCTTGCGCTTGTTCGCGACACCTCCGCGGACAAGCTCTCGGCACGCGCCATCCCCTGTGTCTTCCTTGGTTTCCCAGTGGACTCTGCCGACTGGTCCTTTTACCACCCACCCCTCCACCAGTTCCTAGAATCCCGTGACGTCCGGTTTGACGAGTCTGTGTCCTACTACACCCGGTACCCCTGTCGAGGTCTCCCGGTACCCCCTCCCCCCCTTTTCCTAGCACCCTCTCCTCCTCCTGCTCCTGCTCCTCCGGTACCCCCCCCCCCCCCCCCTTGTTCCTGCCCCGTCTGGTGTGTCCCACGCTACCCCTCTACCCTCGGTCGCGCGTCAGGTAGTGTCTCCCTCCCCGCAGTCCTCCTCACAGTCCCCTCAGCAGCCTTCGGCACTTCCGCGACAGGTTCCTGTGGACTTGGTTGGTGTTGGAGCTGGAGGTGCAGCCGCTGGCGGTGCGCGGTCTGGGGGTGCTTGTTCGCGGGGTGCTGGAGCTGGAGGGGCTGGCGCAGGTGGCGCTAGCTCTGGGGGTGCTGGAGCTGGAGGTGCTGGCACTGGGGATGCTAGTTCTGGGGGTGCTGGAGTTGGAGGTGGTAGCACTGGAGGTGCTAGTTCTGGGGGTGCTGGAGTTGGAGTTCCTGACACTGGAGGTGTTGGTTCTGGGGGTGCAAGGTTTGAGGAGACTGGCGCTGGGGACCCTGGTTCTGCAGAGTCCACTCCGCCTCCCCACCGCCACGACACGCGTCTCCAGGCTGCCCGTCGGCGTGAGCGTGAGGAGCAGGAGCGGTTGGAGAGGGAGCGGCAGGAGCTGCGGGTGCTGAACCTTCTGGAGCAGCAGTGGCAGCAGCAGCAGCAGCAGCAGCAGCAGCAGCTGCAGCAGCAGCAGCAGCAGCCGCAGCCACCGCCGCAGCCGCAGCAGCAGCAGCCGCAGCCGCCACCGCAGCTTCCTCTGGAGCGGCAGTTGTTCCCACCTGTGAGTGGCCTTCGGGCCCTTGGCCTTTCCTCTCCTCCTGTCCGCTCCCAGTCTCCTCCTGTGTTTGTTCCTCCGTTGCCTCCTCCTGACGACCGTCCGGCGGTCTGGTCTTCTCCTCCTCCTCAGTCTCCTCCTCCTTCTGTCCGTCACGACTTGATCACTCGTTGTCCTCCGCGTGCTCGTCACTCGTCCCCTGTTACTGACCTCCACACTGCCCTCCTTTGTTCGTCTCGTCGTCGTTCTCCTTCTCCTGTGTCCGTTCTCCCGTCTCCTCCTCCGTCCTCTCTCCCAGCCCTCCCCACTCCTATCTCTGACTACTACCGCACTGTTCGTCCTGTTGCCGCACGTGTCCTCGCCACTCTTGTCACCGACTCTCGTTTCCCTCCGTCGTCTGCCTCGGCTCTTACTGCCGCTGTCGCTGAGTTTGCTGCCGCCAGCCGCCTTGACTACGCCACCCGTGTGGTGCCAGCTCCTCCCTACCGTCCTCTGTCCGTCGGGGGTGGGTTTGCCCTTGGCTGTGACGTCCTAGAGGACAGAGAGTCTGAGCTGGAGTACTGGGCAGCCGCTTCTCCCTCTCTGTGTGCCATGCTGCTCTCCCCTGAGGGAGACCCCGACGCCCTTGACATACCGACTCCTCGCACTTACCGCGAGGCAGTGTCAGGGGCGTGGGCCTCTCAGTGGAAAGCGGCTATGGACTCAGAGTTGGCGTCTTGGAGATCCACAGGCACCTACGTCGACGCAGTTCCCCCTCCCAGGGCGAACGTAGTCGATGGCATGTGGCTCTTCAAGGTGAAGCGGCCGCCTGGAGCACCGCCGGTGTTCAAGGCGTGCTACGTGGCTAGGGGCTTCAGTCAGCGTGAGGGAGTTGACTTCTTCCAGACCTTCGCCCCGACCCCGAAGATGACTACTCTTCGGGTGCTACTCCACATAGCAGCGCAGCGAGACTACGAGCTGCACTCCCTCGACTTCTCCACTGCGTTCCTCTAGGGTCGACTGCACGAGGAGATCTGGCTGCGCCGTCCTCCTGGCTTCACTGACACCTTCCCACCTGGGACCCAGTGGAGCCTGAGGCGACCAGTCTACGGTCTCCGCTAGTCGCCCCGTGAGTGGCACAACACTCTTCGCTCCACGCTTCGTGACCTTGGGTTCAGCCCGTCCTCCGCCGACCCGTCGCTGTTTGTCCGAGCGGGTTCTACTCCTTTCTTTATCCTTGTCTACGTCGACGACTTGGTGTTTGCTACAGCAGACAGGGCAGCCCTGGCTCAGGTGAAGTCCGAACTGCAGAAGAGACACAAGTGCACTGACCTGGGTGAGCTGCAGCGCTACCTTGGCCTGCAGATCACCCGAGACAGAGCCGCTCGCACCATCACACTGACGCAGTCACACATGGTGCAGCAGGTCCTTCGGCGGTTCGACTTCCAGTTCTCCACCACACAGCCCACTCCTCTTGCTGTTGACCACAGACCTACGGGCCCCTTTCCTGACCAGCCCTTTGAGTCCAGTGGCCCCTACGCAGAGCTGGTGGGCTGCCTCATGTACCTGATGACTTGTACTCGGCCGGACCTCGCCTTTCCCCTCAGCATCCTTTCTCGCTTTGTTGCGACTGGGAGACACCGTCCTGTCCACTGGACAGCTGCTGTGAGGGTGGAGAAGTACCTGGCGACTACATCAGGCATGGGGCTTGTGCTTGGAGGGACTCAGCCAGTGGCGTTGACTGGTCACTGCGACTCTTCCTACGCTGACGACGTGGAGACTCAGCGCTCGACTCAGGGTTACTGCTTCAGTCTGGGAGCTGGTGCTGTGTCGCGGAGGTCTACTCGGTCGTCGTCCGTGGCTACTTCCAGTGCAGAGGCACAGATCTACGCGGGTGCCATGGCGGCACAGGAGCTTTGCTGGTTGACCTTCTTGCTCGCCGACCTTGGTGAGCGGCCTCGCTCTGCACCGACCTTGTACGCTGACAACAAGGCCATGATCCTCCTCTGTCGAGAGCCTCGACTGGAGAGCAGAGTGAAGCATATTGACGTGAGGTACTTCCTCCTGCGAGAGTTGCAGCGACTCGGCCAGGCTCGACTGGACTTTGTGGCCTCAGAGGCCAACACTGCAGACGTCTTCACCAAGGCCTTGGCGCTTGGTGATCACCACAGGTTCTGTGTGCAGTTGGGGCTTGTTGAGGTAGGCCCTCGGTTGCTGTAGTCTTGTTGCTTGCTCTGCTTGTTGTGTTTTCCTATATATATCCTAGTGAACTCTTGAACTGGCCTTGTGGCCGCTTGCTTGTGCTCGGAATTTGTGTGGTGTCCTTGAGATCCACCCTGAGCTTGCCTTGCTTCTTGCCTTGACTGGTCTTGTGACCGTTTGTTTCACCTTGCTTGCTCTGATGCCCCTCACTTAGCCTATGGGGGTGTGTCAAATGTCAATGTTATGATAGGCTGCAGTGAGGTACTCCCTAGAGAGTATAGATTTTGTAGGATTCCTATTTGTACCCTTGCAAACCCTAATTCCAATCATTCCGTTGCATTCCTATTCTGAGAAAACTGTAGCTTACAAATTTTATTTTCATGTTTTATTTAAAAAAAAATATGAAAAAATGTCAAAATCGATCGTAAAGGGTTGCTTCGCAACCCAAAAAGAATACAACAAACAAACACAAAAAAAAACTTAACGTGTCAACAGGTACCGTCATCGCCCGGATATAAGACAGTGTTGAATAGTAGACAGGGGTTGTCTATTATACGGGTGCCTCTTATAAACAGGCTAGCCTTTTTATACGACATCTATTTGTGTGTACGAGATAAGACATATATGTCTTATAATCAGAACTGGGGTTTCGGGGTTCTCTTGTAAACAGGGGGTGTCTTCTTAACGAGCCTTACCTACTTTAAGGGGGTACATGCATACATTCATGAATCTCTACTTCTATCGAAGGCCCCTCAGTCACCGCCTCCTCACCTGCACTAACAACAGGCTCTACACCCAGGTCTGGCACTCGCCAGGCATGCCTAGCTGTCTCCCTAGGCTCGATCATGCGGTCAGCCTCGGCCGCCGCTCCGCGGCAGTTGGGGGTCTCCTGGTACAGCACCTCCAGGCCGGTTGCCACGGCCACCTCCCTCACGCCCTCCGCCTGCATCTCCTCCTCCTCCTCCTCCTCCTCCTCCTCCTCCTCCTCCTCCTCCTCCTCCTCCTCCTCCTCCTCCTCCTCCTCTGGAGCCTGGCCGAGCAGGCGCGTGTTGTCGCTCGTGGTCCCCCCGAGGGTCATGTCCTCGGTGACATCGGTGGTGCTCCTGGCGCGCTGGTGAGACATCACCAGGTGGTTCTCCGTTCCGTCCAGCTTGCTTGAAATCCCACAGTGGCGGAACGCGTCGATGATGATCTGCTTGGGGACTTGTTCCCAAGCCTCCGCGATCCACTGCAGCACCACGGGGTGCGGAGGCCTCCGCAGGTTCCCTGCGGGTGGGACAGAGACATGGACAGGTAACAGAGCATGTTAAAGACATGGACAGGAAACATAGCAGAAATTTAGAATGAATGTCCAACTCACCCTTCTTCGTCTTCAGGTAAATCCCTTCACGCATGAACCACCTGGCGTAGCGCGCTCGCACGGCAGCCTTGAAGCACCGGTTGATGGAGACGTCCAGGGGTTGAGTCTGGCTCGTACAACCCGCTGGGATAACTGCAGGGGTGATGCTGTGCGTGCGGTACGACTGAAGCATGGTCTGGGTGATGTGGCCACGGTAGGAGTCCAACACCAGCATCGCACGCCTCGCATTCTGGCCGCGCTGGGGGTTCAGATGGGGCAGCACCTCCTTAGACAGCCAGGTCTGCACAGCACTCTCGTCCATCCACCCGTTGTCCTGTGCTTGCACCACGATTCCTGCCAGGCACACAGGGGACAGACGGGCATCAGCAGAGTGGGGCACGCTCATCAGGCATTCGGCTTTTGAATTTCTTAAGCTTACCTTCCGGAATCTCACAGTTGGGCACGTTCTTCATCTTGAACCACACACACGGCCGCAGCTTCTCCCTGGATGCAGTGCACGCGAGCATCACCGTCAAGCGCGTCTTCTGGTAGCCTGCAGTGCGGATTGGGACCGAGCGCGCGCCACGGTGCTCGATCGTCCTCTCGGCCGGCATCTTCAAGCTCGTCTTCTTCAAGGAGCCGAGCTCCTGATAGCGGCGCGCCCACTTCAGCTTCTCGCGCACGGTCCATCCGCGTCGCTTTTTCGTAGTGTCCTTGCTGCGAGGGGAAGGTGGGCGGGTGTTGGGATTATTGAGGGTGGGGTCTTTCGGCGTGGGCTTCTTAGGGAATGAAGGAATCGGCCCCGCCGCATCCGCGTATTCGTCGTCGCTGCCCAGATTCTCGTTGACAACGATGGCGTCCGGATTTGGCAACTTCTTCGCCTTCTTCTTAGCAGCACCCTTGCTGGATCCAGGATTGCCGTCGGTTTTCCGCTTCTTGTTGCTTGTGCGGCGATGAACAGTGGCCTTAGCAGGGGCTTCCACGACCTTGGCTTTACCCTTCTCTGCAGCGGTGAGTATCGGGCGACGCTCCTCCTCCGGACTGTCGTCGTCAGAGAGCACCACGCGGGCACGCTTCGGCTTGGACTGTAGGTGATGGCGCAGCCTCCGCTTCAGTAGCGGAACGTTGTCGTCGTCCTTGAAGCTCCACGGGTCGTCGTCGGAGCCTTCACCGGCATCCGCAGCAACCTTGTCCGCCTCCGCCACAGCATCCGCATCCGCAATGGCAGCCACCTCCGCAGGCGCAACTGTCTTGGCATCCGCTTCCGCCTCGTCCGCAGCCTCCGCATTCGCATCCACCGTTGCTCCCGGTGCATGCGCCGCTGCCTCCGCGTTGTCATTATCAGCATCGGCACCTCCGTCGTTGTCCGAATCACCAGCCCGCCACTCTTCCACTTCGTCGTCGCTCCCGACCGGCCGAATCCACCAGTCGTCCTCGTCGATGTCGGCAGGAGCTAATTCGTCTGTTAGAATCTAGAAGTGAACGAGAATGTGTGAACTAGCAGCATTGGGAGTACAAGTAGGAAAACCTAGAATGTTGTACCCCCTAAGGCTAAACCCACTATAGCCTACAGAATAGAAACATATACAATGTTTGACACACCCCCATAGGCTAAGTGGGAGACAACCAGATGGTCACAAGACCAGTCAAAGCAAAGCAAAGCAAAGCACAGCTCAGGGTGGATCTCAAGGATACCACACAAATTCCGAGCACAAGCAAGCGGTCACAAGACCAGTTCACATGCAGTTTGATAATACAACAAGAAATACAGTGATCACAACCTAGCAAGTGTAAACATGCAGGTAAATATATATAGAGATCACAGTACAAGTAGAGTCAAGAAGTAAGCAAGTGAGGCACAATAGGCACAAGGCCTAGAACAGTACAGAAACGCTGATGATCACAAGGCTGAAGCGCCTTGGTGAACACATCAGCAGTGTTGGCCCGAGTGGCCACGTAAGCAAGACGAAGCTGACCACGCTGCTGCAACTCTCGAGCAAGGAAGTAGCGCAGAGCGATGTGCTTCGTTCTGTGCTCCAGTCTGTGCTCCTGACACAAGGCAATGGCGGCCTTGTTGTCGACGTACAGCACTGGAGGAGAACGAGGCCGCTCTCCCAGGTCGGTCAGCAGGTAGGTGAGCCAGCGTAACTCCTGTGCAGCCATGGCTGTGGCGTAGATCTCAGCCTCACAACTGGAGCTGAGAACTGAAGACGAGCGGGTAGACCGCCAAGAAACAGAGACGGAGCCAAGGCTGAAGGTGTAACCCTGTGACGGCCGCTGCATAGTCAAGTTGTCAGCCCAAGAAGCGTCAGCGTGACCAGTGAGGACAACTCGAGCCCATCCTCCAAGCACAAGCCCCATGCCCGACGTACTGCACAAGTAGCGCAACACCCTCTTAGCGGCATCCATGTGCTCCTTCCGGTGACGGCCAGGAGCGACATAGCGTGCTAGGATGCTAAGAGGGTATGCAAGGTCAGGCCGAGTGCAGGTCATCAGGTACATGTGGCAGCCCACAAGCTCTGGGTACGGGCCACTCGGCTCTACGGACTCGTCCGAAGGTGGAGCTGAGAGCGAGTGACCGGTAGGCAGAGGAGTGGCCTGAGGCGAGGAGTACGTGAAGCGGAAGCGCTGAAGGACCTGCTGCACCATGTGTGACTGAGTCAAGGTGATGGTGCGCTGTGCTCTGTCCCGGGTGATCCGCAAGCCAAGATAGCTTGTCAGCTCACCCAGGTCTGTGCACGTGTGTCTCTTCTGCAGCTCCGACTTCACGTGGGCGAGTGCCTCAGTGTCAGCAGTAGCAAAGACCAAGTCGTCTACGTACACGAGAACGTAGAACGGCGGCAGAGTGGTGTCGGTGCGTAGAAACAGCGACGGGTCAGCAGTAGAAGGAGCAAACCCAAGAGCAGCAAGAGTAGTCCTCAGTGTGTCGTGCCACTCATGGGGTGCCTGGCGGAGACCGTAGACTGGCCGTCGGAGGCTCCACTGGGTACCTGCAGGAAACGACCCAGTGAAGCCAGGTGGGCGGCGCAGCCAGATCTATTCGTGCAGGCTGCCCTGTAGGAAAGCAGTGCTGAAGTCAAGAGAGTGAAGCTCGTAGTCACGCTGAGCTGCGACGTGCAGCAGAACCCGAAGAGTGGTCATCTTCGGGGTAGGGGAGAAGGTCTGGAAGAAGTCAACTCCCTCTCGCTCACTGAAGCCTCGTGCAACGTAACGCGCCTTGAAGACAGGTGGAGAACCCGGCGGCCGCTTCACCCTGAAAATCCACATGCCACTGACGATGTTCGCCCCAGGCGAGGGAACCTCGTCGACGTAGGTGCCTGTGGACTTCAAGGAAGCCATTTCTGCGTCCATGGCTGTCTGCCACTGAGAGGAGTAGGGACCCTCTATCGCCTCTGCATAAGAGCGCGGGGTCGGGATGTCTGGTGCATCCGGGTCTCCCTCAGGGGCAAGCAGCATGGACACGAGATGAGGTAAAGCAGCGGCAAAGCACTCAAACTCCTCTTGTCTGTCCTCAAGGACGTCCGTGCCAAGAGCACACTCACCCCCGACGGACGGAGGAAAGACAGACTCAGACTCAGCAACAAGGCTAGCGGCGTAGTCTAGACGACAGGCGGCAGCAAAGTCAACAAGCTCAGCGACGAGAGCAGACGCAGCAGAGGACTGGCAGCACGAAGGGAGTCAGACTCCGGGTCCGGACTGTCAGGAAGAGAGGACGCAGGAGGAGACGGCAGAGGGACACGCTGTGGAGCAGTGGAAGGACGCAGAGTCATATAGTGAGTGCCAAGTACAGGAGGAGGACGCTGACGCGGAGCACGACGACCAGCGCGAACAGCGCGGACAGACGACTCTGGACGAGACTCAGGCGACGCAGGACGAGACTCAGGCTCACGACGCTCCGTAAGACCTCTAGCCGGCCCAGCGTAAGGAGAAGGACCACGCAGCGGAGAGGTAAGCGGTAACTGTGACTGCGACTGGACAGGTGGTGGACTCAGTATGGGAGGAGTAGGACCAGTGGAGGGCGGGAGGCCAAGAACCTGCTGAAGGAGCGGAACGTAGTACGGCCGCGGCCGCGCAGCACCTCCTGAACCAGCAGAGACAGCACCAGCACCCTCAGCCCCAGGGTCTCCAGCTACAACTCCCGCAGCACCACCAGCAACCCCAGCAGCTCCAGTACCTCCAGCTCCAACCCCCGCAGCAGCTCCAGTCCCAGCAGCTCCAGTACCTCCAGTACGAGCACCTCCAGAACCAGCGGCTCCAGCAGCTCCAGCACCAGCAGTACCTCCAGTAGCTCCAGCACCAGCAGCACCTCCAGCAGCGCCAGCACCAGCAGCACCTCCAGCACCTCCAGCACCAGTAGCACCTCCAGCAGCACCAGCAGCACCAGCAGCACCTCCAGCAGCTCCAGCACCAGCAGCGCCTCCAGCAGCTCCAGGACCAGCAGCACCTCCAGCAGCACCACCAGCAGCTCCTGCACGAGCAGCACCAGCACCAGCACCAGCACCAGCTCCAGCTTCATCTCCAGGGTCCCCAGCACCAGCAGCAGCTCCAACTCCAGGGTCCGCGGCACCAGCAGCAGCTCCAGCTCTAGGGTCCAAAGCACCAGCAGCGCCACTCCGGAGACTGCAGCGCCGAGCGTACCACTCTCGGAGCCGCTGGGGAGAGGGCGGCTCCCGCCTAGGAGGGGAACCACGAGCACCAGCTCCAGCAGCACCCCTAGCCCCAGAAGCGCCCCTCCTGAG